ATGTTCTTCGCAAATTGGCGCATTTAATATTTTGGATTCTCGTAAATCTATTGTTGGTTCCAAAAAACTATTATTCATCACATTGGACGCAAATTTGAATCCGGCTTTAATTGCTAGAGATTTACATAAATTTATTTTGTTGTTGGTAGCTCTACCACAGACAAACAGACGTAACTCTTTATTGTGTATCTTCGTTCATGCATTTAACGGTTCATTTGAATATTATCAGTTCCGCGAACTACTCGCCGCAGCGCTGGCATCGGATCACTTTGACGGTTCTATACATTCTATAGAACTTTTATGCAATATTGTTTACGAGTAAGCGAGCAAGCTTGTTTTCCGCGAGAAGCCAGAGAGATGTCGTTACTGAGGTTATATGTTTTGAGATACTATGTTTTCAAGAACAAGTTTTTCAAAGAGTTACGTCTGTTTGTCTGTGGCTCTACTATACTGTTTTGAATCTCTATGTTTTGCCTCACCTCGCATAGCCCATTGATGTCGAGGAGCATCTGATTGTAATATGAATGTAGCGTAATGCAATAAATTATGGTGTTTGGGCTTTAGCGTGTCATTAAACAATGTCAAATACTGTGAATGTTGCACATCTACTAGCTTTTTCAAAATCTGCAGGTACTCTGTTGGAATTTCACGCAGCATGAGAATGTGGCAGATTTGAAGCATTAAACATAAATGTTTCCAAACCTCATCTTCTTCTGGCACTAATCTTCCTATAATTAGTGGAATGAAGTTGACTAACGTTTTTATTTCGCTTGCAGTCATTTTGATTTTACTCTTAGATATATTTATTTCTTTAATATCGGTTGGAATATTGGACGAATTAAGGTTTCGAAAACAAATGTATTTTTTCTAAAATTGAATTCCTCAAGAGAGAACATTTTCTTAATATTAATAAAATAGTTCAAATAATGTCCTAATCCATAAATACATACTCCTTCCCAAAGGTCGTGCATCATATCAAAGTATATGTTAAATGTCACGTGAAAAGACGGAGTCTCATTGAAAATGCTTTCTTTTTTCACACCAGTTAGTGATACATCATCCATGTCTAAGTCTTCATCGTAGCTCTTAACAGTTCTGAAAGTTTCTGCATACTCGATAGTATCATTTTCCCTCTGATGTCGATTTCTCTTACATATGCGGCAATAATAATTGGCACGAACGGATTCAACTAAGTCTAAAATACCGGAAAGCCCCAAGTTATCACCGGTAATGAAACCTAGCATGAAATAAACAACTTTTATGTCTCCTTTAATGTGTATCTCTAATCCATTAGTCTCAAGTTCAATCAGTGTATCTACAAGACTACGAAAAAGATGCTTATTGTCAAATTCTTTCCTATCCTCCGACAGTATGAATCCAGCAACATGAATGTTCGAAAGTTTTGTCAGAATGCGTAATAATAGATGCCGCAAATAGAAGTTCTGGCTGCATGTGATGAAACTGTATCGCCAGTTGTAAAATCGTCAAAAAACAAGTTCAACGGTACTATAAACTTATTCGTCGAGTAGATTGTGCGTTTCTTCCAGAGGTCACCGTCAATCATGGTTCTAATGTATCCGTCACTTGATGGCGTTAAGTTGTGTAATATAGTATCCATTACACCATCTGATTCCATATATTTCCGAAGTTGAAACTTCAAAGGCATCAGAATTGCTAAATGTAAAAATATGTTATGTTTAGTTATCAAATATTTAGTTATTTAAAATAAATGATTGTATTACCAGTAATAGGGTCATTAGTCATTTGCTGCTCATTCCGCACGATACCTGGGCGTAATTCATTACTTATTACGAATTCCCTCGGTTCTACATACAAATCATTCACCTTCAGTTTTTCCACGAATTTATGCTCTGTATCGCTGTTACACATATCTCCGAGTATCTTGTTAAACATTGTTTTTCCTTCAGCCGTTATGTACCTCGAAGACTCCATCTGTTCAACTATGCTACTAAGCGGGTAAAAAAACATACTCTGCATATCTTTTTGCATATCGAATACTACTTTCCTTGGAAGAGTGTTTGCACTTAAATATTTTAAATTAAAACTAATAGATACATTCTCCATTTGATTGATCATCATATTTAGGATGGCTGGATTCATCGAGTCGCGCGTTTCTTATATTGGTGGTATATATTCTACGTCAGCATCGATTTCCTTATCAATATTACATTATAGTGTAGGTGTTTCGGCATATGCAAAAGAATCTCCGTTGAAATGATGTTGTGCTGCGTTGTCATCTATCGTGCTACTGATTTCTTCAAAGTGTTTCTTCAAGTGCCGATAGAATGAAGATTTAACGCTATACTTCCTTGTACAATTTCCGATGTTGCATTCGTAGACGTCCAGATTTCCGTGATATTTGTTTAAATGGTCGTGTAAACGATTGACCGATTGCGATGTCCAGCTACATCGCGGTGCTACACATCGAATCATTGTTGCCGTTGTTGTTGAAGACTATTCCGCAGTGAAGTGCACAGTGCCACAACGTGAGTTTGTTCACGAGAAACCTCAAAGTCGAATAACAGGTTTGCCAACAAGCTCCAAACTGACGATGATTGACGTGGGAAAGCAATGCGATATGATTTGTAAATTTTCAAACACACATCAAGTGCTTTTATGAAGCTTGGTAACTTGTATGAAACCACGTTGTTCCATACAGAAAATGATGTAGGGCTTTTTGGGTCCTCCCCATGAACCACAATGAATGGGGCTAGCTCTATACTTCTCGATTGTAATGATTGGAAAATTTTGGCAAGCGTAGTTTGGAACTCTGAAAAATCTTTCACTAAAACTGCGACGCTCTCCCGTGACTCAATAATTGACGGCTTCCAGCGTTGTTTTTCGGCAACATGAGAATAGGACTTGGCAAAATGTGATTCAAAAGCCATCTGTAAAAAAAAACATTATTGTATTGAATCCCAGATTGGATCAATCTACCTACACTACCCACCATAAGTATGGAATCGATATAAAAAGTATTGCAAAACACAAACTGAATATTGCAGCATCTTGAAAAGTTTAAAAACCTGAACAGAGTAGGGTGCAGGGTAATGCCAAACTTCTTGAGGGTGCTGCAATATTCAATTTGAGTTGTAATACTTATTGAAGCGACTCCATGTAGTGTAAATTCTGGTGATGAACACAGTTCAAGAGGAACATGTGAAAAGGCCATCTTAGCTTTTTGTAAAGCTCGCCAACCGAAGGCCACCCACGCAAACCAACATCCGGAAGGGTAAAGTTTCCCCTACCCCTAAACAAAGGTTTACAAAACGCTGAGATGACCTTGGGGTCAATTATGCGTTCAACTGCATTATAGATTATGTAGTATTACAATTTCCAGTTACACTTTGACTTACCATTTGAAATGTCGACTGTTTTTAGTAAATTTAGTAAACTCTTTCCGACGGTATCTGTTATCTCCAGTTCCAAAATTGAATAAACCTCGCTGACAAATAATTCCCAACGATCGAAAAGGAGTTTTTCCTTTTCCGGGAACCGTTGTTGAAAATCGATTTGAATCAATTGATAGGCGGTGTCTTAAAACAGGATACTCAGCCAGAAGGGAAGCAGCGTTTCGAGTTTCGTTCTGAGACAATTCAAATATTCTTTGTGTTGTTGTTTGCTTCCACTTACTTCGCACTTCGTCCGCGTGATGTAATAAAATGGCGGTCAACACATAGACAAAAAATCAGATCATTTCCAAAATATTTGTTTTAATCAAAAAGCAAGGTCTTTGTTTCTAATAACAACTTTGTAGAATGAACTCTGCTATACATTAGAAACAAAGATTTTTTTTCTTTGAATCAACAAAACAGCATGAGTTTGAATTAAAAATGCAATGTATTTGATTCTAATACGCCTTGTTTCTCTGCGTGTAAGGGATATACGTTGTGTCCGCGGGCCCCGGTTACAAAGTATACATGCTTCGTTTAATTTAACATAGCATTTACAATGCAAAATTAGACGAGATCATGTTCCCCCGGATACAACGTATATTCATTATGAGTCAGGTAAAACAGTAGGGGGATTTATCATTGATCTGTCAATGTCAAAAGAAGGGGCTTTTCATATCCAGAAACGTTCGCGAAGACACCACTTGTCTAAAATGCAAGATTCACGAGATAATTACTTTTGAGTTCTGGACCACTGTGCGACAGTCAGGCATGGAAAATCATTTACATTTATTTTCCTCTAACTTTTTTCAACAATAGAATTTCGTAAAATTATATGTATATATACATATAATTTTACGAAATTCTATTGGGGAAAAAATGTTAGAGGAAAATGAATGATATATGTACATGAAGCTTTTGTAGGTTTGCATGACGAACTAGAGCGGGTACAACATGTACATTCACTTAAAAACAATGGTAGGTTCTGTTCGCTCTGGTTCATTATGCATAAGTTTTGAGTTATTGACAAAAGTTGTATTCATTTTGTTAAAAAAAAAGTTTTTGTTTAAAATCATTAATATTTTATTTTTTTCCAATAGGTACTCAGTAGAATTCTCAAGAACACATATGGACGAGAATAATGAGTACACCGAGAAGTTTAAATAAGTACTGACTATTTATTAGTAGATTGACAAACATGAGACGTACCGAAAATTTGAGGAATCACCTGGAAAGGAGAGGGTTAACTACAACTCGATGATAAGTGGTGTGTTGTTATGTGAAGGGCTCGGTGACCTAATGTAAGACCGTTTTTGCTTACAACCGGGCCCAGCTGCAATAATTTCAGTTATTTTATTACCGAACCCGGTAAACTGAATTGATTGTGTAAATAACAAGTTTTGAACTATGAACAGGAATGAACACAAGCTTACCTTAATTCAGATGCATTGTATATTTACCTTGAAGTCATCTGGCTCCGTAGAGTTTTTTTAAAGACATTCGATCCTAATCAACCAAACGAATAGACGGAACAAAAAAAGTCATCATGCATAAACTAAACACTCCACCGCCAGCGTATTTAAGCCGAAAATCATTCATTTATTTACATAACATTTTACAACCAACTTAAAGGGTATTTTTTAATCTCTAGCGCCAATTCCCACCGTAGATGGCTAACCGCTGCCGTACCAGTGCGTAGTCCATGCCGTGCCGTTTGCGGAGATGTTTCACCAGTCCCTTTTTCTGCTCGAACACCTTATCCGAGCAGAAGGGGCACTTCCAATCCTGAGACGAAACCAGCGGAATGAACGACGGTTCCGGTTCCTTCGATTTCTTTTGCTTCACTTCCGCCGTTGGAACAATTTTCCTACTACCATTGGCTCGTTGCTCCTGCTTCTGCGTATCCAAACTGTTCCGCTTCGGTTCCACCTTGGGAGATTTCGATGGCGGTGGAGCTTCCTTCGCAACCGGATCCGGTTTGGTGTCCGATTTCCGCTTCGGCGGCTTCGCCTTCTGCGGTGTGTCCGATTTTTTATTTCCTGTTTCGGAACTTCTGGTCAGTCGTGCCACCGCAGGCTCCTCTTTGGACTGCTTATTCTTCGCATCGTTCTTCACTTCCGGCTGTTTCCGATCGGGCTTGGTAGGCGGGCGACTTTCCGAGGCTTTCTCTTCGGCAACATTCGATCGCCGAGTGCTGCGAACCGGAGGTTCTTTGGGTTTTTCTTGAGGCACCTTGCCAGATTCAACTTTCGGAGAGTCCGGATCCGGTTTGATGGTGATGATCTTCGGCATCGGAAATCCGACGGAGTCCTGGAATTTAAGGGGAACCTTTCGAACGCGGGATGATCGCGGTGAAGGCGGTGGAGCGTTGGAGCTAGGGGCCGGTGGTGCTGGCGGGGTTTCAGTTTGTTTTGGTTTTGGAGGTGCTTTGGGGGCAGGTGGGGTTTCAGTTGGTTTTGGTTTTGGTGGTGCTTTGGGGGCAGGTGGGGTTTCAGTTTGTTTTGATTTTGGAGGTGGTTTGGAGGCAGATGGTGCTGGTAGGGTTTCAGTTTGTTTTGGTTTTGGAGGTGGTTTGGAGGCAGATGGTGCTGCTAGGGTTTCAGTTTGTTTAGGTTTTGGAGGTGGCTTGGGGACAGGTGAGGGAGCGGAAAGTTTTACCGGAAGCTTCGCTGCTTGAATGATCGGTTTGTTTGGAGTTGGATCTCGTGGACTTTCAGGGACACTGTTTTCCTTCTGTTTCGGTTGCGGAGTGGCCGAGGTGGTGTTCGTGGGCTTCGGGACCGGTGATGCGGCGGTAGGTTTGACCGGGAGTTTCATTTCCTGAAGAACTTGTGGTTTTTCGGATGGTTGTTTGCGTTCGTCCGGGTTCGATATGGGCACTACTACTGCAGGTTTAGGACTTTCCACGGGTTTAGGGCTTCCCGAAGGGGTTGGTGATTTGTGATGTTTTCTAGACCCGGAAAACAATGTAGTCATAGTTCCGGGGAATTTCACTGCTCGTACCAGTGATTTGGGGAACATTCGACCAATGGATTCCTTCGGGGTACTTTTTTCAAGAACTGGCTTCCAAACACGGTGCGGAAAACGACCGCTCGTTATGCCTCTCGTTAAGGTGCTAATAGGTTTGAGAGAATATTTCTGATTAGCAAGCGCTCTAGCGGTGGCCGATGGAAGCAGTTTCACTGCCTGTAGGACACTCGGAGGATTCAGTTTTCTCTGCTCTGGGCTTGCCATAAGTTGGTGTAAGGGTTTGGCTCTGATGGTATTCATAGGAGAAGGAATCTTCGGTGGTTGCTGCTCCTCAATAGGTTCTTCCTTTTTGACGGTCACATCTTCCGATTTGCCCTCAGCGTTGGTTGCGTTGTGACCTGTACTGGGTACTTGCAGTTCTACGCCTTGGTTGGAATCCGTTGTTTCCGCTTGAACACGGATCAGCGTCACAGGAACGATTCGACCGTTCAGCTGAACTCCTTCCGGTGTGGAACTACTTTCCGATTCTGCGGGTGGTTTCTCCCCGTCTTCAGCGCTCGCCAGTGGGTCATCCGAGGTTGGAGTCTCGGCAGCAGGTCTTCGATACGGAACCGGATAGAGCGTGTCTTGCATCCTTTGCGCACGCAACGGTTGGTTTCGTTCGATGGTCTGCTGACGCCGTTGGTATCGTTCGACGTTTTCGACGCGCTGAACCTCTAGTAGGGGATCTTCTCGACGCCGCGCTGGAGATACGGAGCTAACCGTTCGAACCGGTGTCACCTTCTGTGCCGGACGGGTTGGAATGATTTCTGTGGTCTTCGTCCGGACGGAGGTCGTCTGCGTGCCGAACGATGGGGACCGGGTTGGTGTGCTGCTCATCGAGGGTAGCGGAATTCCTCGAAGGGATTGATCATTCAGCTGGACCAGTTTGCGAAATTTGACAAACTCTTGTACACTGGTGTAGCATCCGGTGCAGATCGAAGACGGAAAGTCTCTTTCAACGCAGATCTAAAAATGGAGAAATATTGTTGAGGGTCATACATATTTTGCTTCAAAGGGCAGTTATGGCTTCCTGGAAGATCTAGATACATTCAGAGAATTTCTCAAAAGTTATTGGAACTTTTGGAAAATTTTCAGAATTTATAGGAAGTTCTTGCAATTTCTTGGAAGTTACGAGAACTTTCCAGGAATGTTGAGAATTACACAGAAGTTCCGAGGACTTGGAGATTTCTGTGGAAATGTCCGAGAACATCAGGGACATCCAAGGAACTCTTAAAGTGTTAAAATACGACCAAGATTTTCAAAAAAAAAAAAAACTTAAAATGAGTTTTCTAGAGAGCTTTGAATACTTCTGCATGGGAAGTTCTGAGAACTTTGTCAGTTCTTAAAAGGAAGCTGTATTTGGTAAAATGCTAACCTGCAGTTTCGAAATCATTCTGAAGTTCTCGAAACTCCCCTAAAGCCTCGCCTTAAGCTCCCTAAAATTCTTAGACCTTGAAGTATTTTAAATTTCAATGAAGTTTTCGGCATTTCCTTGAATGTCTTGAAACTATAGAGAAGCCTATAGTTCTCGGGACTTCTCTGGAAATTTCAGAACGACACAGGAGATTTCGGGACTTCATTGAAGTTCTCGGAGCTTCCCCGCATTTCCGTAAAATTTTCTGAACATTTCGTATTTGAAAGTTTTTCTAGAACCGGAAGTCGTCATATTGGATTTCAAAATTGATTCATACTACGATTTTCGACCTCTAAACGGCGTCCCGTTCCAAAAATATCCATATTACCAGAATTTAAAAAAAACTGAATATTGTCATCTTGAACTTCAGAAAACGGGAAGTCGCCATTTTTTAAGAATAGAAAAGCATCTACCATAGATTATCGGCCTCTGCATATTGGAGAATATTTGAAAGTTTTACACAAACCGGAAGTCGCCATCTTGGATTCCAGAATGGCATCAAACATCGATTTTCGGCCTCTACATGTCGTCCCCGTTTCGAAAATATAGTGAGGAATCCTTATTACCGGATGGTTTTTAATCCATTTAAAAATAGCATATGCGGTCAGTATTCTTACTGTCAAAGGTCAAGCATCTAGGAATCCGGATGAAGTAATACGGGCAAAACAACCATTCGGGCGTAAGGGTTCCCGACTAAACCCATATCGTTGGGTATTGACAGTTTTTCACAACCAGAAGTCGCCATCTTGGACCTCAAAATGGCGTCACACAACGATTTCCGCCATTCACTCGTCGTCTCCGTTCCAAAAATACCCATATTGTAGGGTATTTGACAGTTTTTAACAAACCTGAAGTCACCATTCTGGATTCCAGGATGGTGTCAAACATCGATTTCCGGCCTCTACACGTCAATTTCATATCCATATTGTTGGCTATTTAACATTTTTTCACAAACCGAAAGTCGCCAGCTTTAATTTTAAAATGGCGTCAAACATAGATTTTTTGCCTCTACAAATCGTCCCCGTTCCATAAATATTAATACCGTTCGGTATTTGACAACCACAAAGCGGAAGTTGCCATTTTGGATTCCAGAATGACGCTTAACATCGATTTCCGTTCTCCCCGTTCCGAAAATAACCATATTGTTGAAGATTGGACAGTTATCTTGGATTTTAGAAAACTGAAAGTCGCCATCTTGGATTCCAAAATGGCGACAAACATCGATTGCCGATATTGTTGTGAATTCGACGGTTTTCCACAAACCAGAAGTCGTAATATTGGATTCTAGAAAACCGGAAGTCGCCATATTGGATTCCAAAATAGCATCAAACATCGATTTCCGGCCTCTACACGTCGTCGCCGTTCTGTAAATATCGATATTGTTAAAAGTAGATACATAGTTGATAGTCTGACAACTTTGTAGAACGTTTCAAAGCTCTTTTCTATCGGTCCTCAAAAGTTATAAAGCATTTTTGAGTTACGTCTTTCACTTATCGAAACGTTGAAGTTACATGATTGCAGTCCTGAAGTCTTAAAAAAATTCGACAGAACTTTAATGGCATCTTCGATTTGCAGTTGGAAATCTTTTAACCCTCCGTTACTCGCGCTGTTGTACTTTGTACAACACACATGAGTTTTCCATTGCCATTTTGTTGCTGAGTTATCAATTGATCTGAAACCATCGAGTATTTCTCAAAAAACTTGTTTTGATCGAAACAAGCTAAACTTTGATTACAGTAAACACCTAAAAAATGCGGATAATAGGGAAACTGTAAATGGAAACCGCGTAAACTGTGACCTCGCTGTGACCATACTACGTGAGATTTGACTTAATTGATTACAACATGGAATATATCGAGATCCTGATTAAGGGCCGTTTCTTCAACTACAGCATCATCAACGTGCACTGCCCACACGAAGGGAGACCCGACGACGAGAAAGAAGCGTTCTATGCGCAGCTGGAGCAGGTGTACGATGGCTGTTCGCAACGGGACGTCAAAATCGTCATCCGCGACATGAACGCTCAGGTAGGACGGGAGGCAATGTATAGACCGGCAATCGGGCCAAACAGCCTGCATGCCGTATCGAACGACAACGGCCAACGATGCGTGAACTTTGCAGCCTCCCGGGGTATGGTAGTTCGAAGTACCTTTTTCCCCCGCAAGGATATCCACAAAGCCACCTGGAGATCACCTGACCAACACACAGAAAACCAAATCGATCACGTTGTAATCGACGGGAAATTCTTCTCCGACATTATCAACGTCCGCACGTACCGCAGTGCGAACATAGATTCGGACCACTACCTAGTTGCAGTATGCATGCGCTCAAAACTCTCGACGGTGCAAAACACACGTCGAAGTCGAACGCCACGACCCAACATTGAGCAACTACGGGACACCGGAGTTGCCCAGGACTACGCGCAGCAGCTAGAAGTTGCACTACCCACGGAAGAGCAGCTTGGCGCAGCTTTTCTTGAAGATGGCTGGAGGGTTCAGCCATAGGTAGTACTGCTGCAGCGGCACTAGGTACTGCAATCCCGGACCGAAGAAATGACTGGTTTGACGGCGAATGCAAACTGTTAGTAGAGGAGAAGAATGCAGCACGGGCGAGAATGCTGCAACACCGCACGAGATTGAATGTGGAGCGATACAGACAAGCGCGGAACAGACAAAACTCGGTTTTCCGAAGGAAGAAGCGTCAGCAGGAAGACCGAGATCGCGAGGCGATGGAAAATCTGTACCGCGTAAACGACACACGGAAGTTCTACGAGAAGCTAAATAGTTCGCGCAAAGGCTACGTGCCGCAAGCCGATATGTGCAAGGACTTGGACGGTAACCTTCTCACGAACGAGTGTGAGGTGATTGAGAGGTGGAAGCAGTACTATGACGAGCACCTCAACGGTGAAGCAGCAGAAAACGAAGGTGGCACGGCAACAGACCTTGGAGCACGCGCAGAAGACGACAGGCTACCGGCCCCTGATCTTCAAGAAGTTGAGGAGGAGATCGGTCGGCTGAAGAACAACAAAGCAAGTGGTGTAGATCAACTACCAAGTGAGCTATTGAAATACGGTGGTGAAGCACTGGCTAGAGCGCTGCACTGGGTAATTGCCAAGATTTGGGAGGAGGAGATATTACCGGAGGAGTGGATGGAAGGTGTCGTATGCCCAATCTACAAAAAGGGCGACAAGTTGGATTGCTGCAACTACCGCGCGATCACACTGCAGAGCGCCGCCTACAAGGTACTCTCCCAAATTATATGCCGCCGTCTGTCACCATATGCAAGAGAGTTCGTGGGGCAATACCAGGCGGGATTCATGGGTGCCCGCGCTACCACGGACCAAATTTTCGCGATTCGGCAGGTTCTGCAGAAATGCCGCGAATACAACGTGCCCACACATCATTTGTTCATCGATTTCAAATCCGCATACGACACAATCGATCGAGATCAGCTATGGCAGATTATGCACGAGTACGGATTTCCGGATAAACTGACGCGATTGGTCAAGGCGACGATGGATCGAGTGATGTGCGTTGTTCGAGTATCGGGGACACTCTCGAGTCCCTTTGAATCTCGAAGGGGGTTACGGCAGGGTGATGGACTTTCGTGTCTGCTGTTCAACATCGCGTTAGAAGGTGTGATCAGAAGAGCTGGGATAGACACGAGTGGCACGATATTCAGGAAGTCCATCCAGCTCCTTGGTTTCGCCGATGACATTGACATTATGGCACGGAACTTTGAGATGATGGCGGAAACGTACATCAGACTGAAGGCTGAAGCTAGACGGATTGGACTTGCCATCAACGCATCAAAGACAAAATACATGAAAGCAAGAGGTTCTATGGAAGACAATGTTAGCCTCCCACCCCGAGTTCAGATTGACGGTGACGAAATCGAAGTGGTCGATGAGTTCGTGTATTTGGGCTCACTGGTAACCGCCGAAAATGATACCAGCAGAGAAATTCAAAGACGCATTATGGCAGGGAATCGTGCCTACTTTGGACTCCGGAGGACGCTCCGGTCGAATAAAATTCGCCGCCGCACGAAGTTGACTGTCTACAAGACGTTGATTAGACCGGTGGTCCTCTATGACCACGAGACCTGGACTATGCTCGTGGAGGACCAACGCGCCCTTGGTGTTTTCGAACGGAAGGTGTTGCGTACCATCTACGGTGGAGTGCAGATGGATGATGGAACGTGGAGGAAGCGAATGAACCACTAATTGCACCAGCTGCTGGGAGAGCCATCCATCGTCCACATTGCAAAAATTGGGCGACTACGGTGGGCTGGTCACGTCGTAAGAATGCCACACGACGACCCAGTGAAAATGGTTCTAGAAAGCGACCCGAAAGGAACAAGAAGAAGAGGCGCGCAGCGGGCAAGGTAGATCGACCAAGTAGAAGGCGACCTGCGAACCCTTCGCAGACTACGAGGCTGACGAACTGTGGCCATGGATCGAGTAGAGTGGAGACGACTTCTTCGGACAGCAGAGGACAACAAGGCCTTAGCCTGATTGGTAAGGTAAGGTAAGAATCTCGAGTTTAGCCTACGCGAGAATTGTACACGTTTACTAGCGCCATGTGGTGAGAAAATCCTAGGCTACTGTCCACCAGCCAAAAAGTCTTGACCCCCTGAACAAGTTTGCCAAAAACAGTAACTTTCTATCTGCTCAGGATCTCGAGCTATTGTATATGCGAGAAATGCATGTGTATACTAGCACCGAGTAGTGAGAAAATTTTGAACAACTGTCCACCAACGAAAAGATCTTGACTTCCTGAACAACTTTGCCAAAGACATTTACTCTCTATCTGGTCAGGATATAGTGATCTATCACATGCGAGAACTTAACATGTATACGAGCACTACCTAGTGAGAAGATTCTGAACAACTGTTAACCAGCAAAAAGGCTATGATCTCCTGAACAGCTTTGCCTAAGACAGTAACTTTCTATCTGCTCAGGATCTCGAGCTATTGTGAGAAAATTGCACGTATATACTAGCACCACGTAGTGAGAATTTTTTGAACCACTCCATCAACGGAAAGATCTTGACTTCCTTTGCCGAAGACAGTAACTTTTTATATGGTAAGGATCTAGTAATTTTTTATATTTGCGAGAATTTTACATGTATACTAACGCCGCGAAGTGAGAAAACTCTGAACTACTGTCCACTAAAGAAAAGGCTTTGACCTTCTCAACAACTTTGCCGAAGACAGTAACTTTCTATCTGGTCAGGATCTCGAGATATTTTATGAGAATTTCACGTGTATACTAGCGCCGCGTATTGATAAAATTTTGAACTATTGTGCACCAATAAATAGCCTTTGATCTCATCAACAACTTTGTTGACGACAGTAACTTTCTATCTGGTGATGATCTCGAGATATATCACATGCGATAATTTCACATGTATTCTAGCGCTACGTAGTGAGAAAATTCTGAACTACTCTCCACCAGCGAAAAGATCATGATCTCTAGAACAATTTTGCCCCAGAAAGTAACTTTCTATCTGGTCAGGATCTCGAGATTTTCCATGTTGTAACCTATTAAGTCAAATCCCACGTAGTACGGACACCGTTTAAGCGGTTTCCATTCGCATTTTCTCTATTATCCGCATTTTTGGGGGTTAACTGTGATATCAATTGGTAGCTCGGCTGCAAAGTGGCAATGGAAAACTCACACCTTTGTACAAAGTACAACGTGCGAGTACTTGTGTTACAAAAGTTGGCGCGTGTAACGGAGGGTTTAAATATTTCCCGACCAAACTGTCATTTTGCGAGACGATTTGAGAAACGCTATTCAACCACTGGGTTTTGTAAAACAAAAATTAAAGGACTTAATTGAACATTTTGATAATCTGGAGATATTTTGATCAACCAGCAATCTTGGGGGAGGGACTGAGGGACGCATTTTTTTAGCATTCGAGCAGTTCCATTCTAAACGGCTTCCCTTTCCGACAAATTCCATGAAACTTCGCATAATTATTCGCTAGGGACTATAAACCAGTGCCAGTGTGCTTTTTTTAAGTTAATAAATGCTACGACATTTTCCAAACTTGTTCAAAGTTTCAACTTGTACGAAGTTATCTGAATTTTTACAAAGTTCTTTGAATTTCTACGAAGTTATCTAAAGCTCTACGTAGTTTGTAGGATTTATATGAAGTTTCCTGTATTTCTACGAAGTTTGCTTAATTTCTACTAAGTTCAATGAATTTAAACAGAAACGTTTGATTTTGATGTCTACATCAGCATCGAAATCAAATGTATGCCTGATGTTAACATTACAAAACTGAGCTTCTACAAAACTAGCTGACATTGTTTCACATATGCTGCAGTTCTGATATTCTACACAATTCCCTGAACTTCTACGTTCTTCTAGTCCATCGAAATCAAATGATGTTACCATAACTTCTGTAAAGACTCAGCTTTGAAAATGTGAAATATTGATCACTACCAATGCAATCCCTAAAACGAAAACAAATTGCAAATCACACTACTCACCATTAAAGAGCCTAAATTTAATTCAGGCTCTTTACTCACCATCACTTCGGTGCATCCGAAAATCTGATCAATCAGATCCGGCTCGATCAGCGTTTGATCTCCGGTAAAGATTGGTTCCAAATCCTGGCGTTTGAAGCACAACCGACAGTACTGTAAACTCGGAGGGACCTTCCGCGGTCCCGCACTGGCAGTGGTGGCGGGAGCGGTGGAGTCGGTCTGTACGGCTTTGCAGTATCTCAATCGGGAGGGACTCGACACGTATGCCAAGTGTTGACTTTGCATCCTATGGGGATCTAACGGATGTCCACGCATCCCCAGAGGCGGGGGCATTGACGACCTTGCCGCATTTTGTCGTAGTTGGTCCGCTTCCGTCATACCCGCCGGCAGAGTCATTGGCCAGCGGTCTGTCAACGGTGGAAGGGCGGACATATTCAGCGGTGGCATATTAAGATGCGGCACAACCCCCTTTTTCACCAGCAACTGCCGCTTGTAGCCCGGAGGGGCTGAAATGAACTCCTGGAAATCTTTGAAATCATCCGGCACCTAAAAGTGTACACGCAGGGAAAAAACGGGTTCAAAACAAATCAAAACATTCAAATAGTGGCAGCCATCTTGAATAGCGATACAGTTCGGCACAATGTATTATCGCATAGGGTGAACTTGCCTTAAAGTGACGCGAGCAACAGTAGCTTCGCTTTTTGTCGCGGGCGGCTTGCATCAATGTCAACCAAACGAAGCGCCGCTCTGGGTAGCTGTGGCCGGGGACGCACACAAACAGAATCTCTGGGTTGCGCAAACTGTTCGAATCACAGTTCCGGACATCGCAGATCTTCGGTCGGATGCGAACACCGACAGATGCTGCGGGGGTTGCAGCTGGCGGTGGCGATGGCGAAGGCAGTGCTTGTGCCGTTGGTGCAGCAGCTTGCGGTGGAGGCGATTCAGCCGTCGGCAGTGGTTCCATTTTGGTTTCATCGACGCTCATCCCTTGCTGTTTGGCCCTTTTTTGCTCACTTTACTGGGGGGCGATGATGCGTTTTTGACACATCCGATCTGAAAAAATGCACCACTGAGACTGAGGTGGAGGAGCTACCGCGACTGACAGCTTGGTCACGAGTGGTGAATTGTGGCCGTCGAAGTGTGCGACAGTGGTGAGTTATTGTTGGGCGTTTGCCTCTGCAGTCTGGCTCAAGAGGCTGAAGAGGCGGGGGTGATGGGAGGGGGGAACCGTTTATGGAGTCACTAAATAATGCTCAGTGGTTTTGCTGGGGTGTCAATGTTTGTATGAAAACGGCATTTTGATGGGTTTGTTTTGGGTTAAAATGAGAAAACTCGCTTGATAATCATGGCTGACATTGTTCAAGACGATTAGCTCCGCAGAAATGTAATGTTCCGAAGTCCGCTTTCACGACTTGTGGTGTTTGTTTCTGCCGAGCTGTTTATATCTTCGACAGATATTGTTATAGTACCGTTTCACTTCTTTAATCTAGTACGTCGTTTGCAGTACTGGATTAAAGGAGTACAACGATACTACAATCTAAAGAGACTTAATTGGGTAAAGAGGCTACATCTTATCCATTTGACAGGTCTTCTGCTCGATTAGAATAACTTTTCCTATGACTTTGACAGATAATCGATTGATCTAATTTTGACTTGACATGTCATCTCTTTATAAATTCAGGCTCTTCACTACAATAATGTCTGTCGATGGTATTAAATGCAAATAAAATCCTCGATAAAAACAGAGATTGCAGTATACGTACTTTATAAAAGGTCCTCACTGTAATAATAGATTCCCATAATGGATAACAAAATTTAATAGGTCACTTTTCAGAATAATGTTTTAATGAACTCAGTTCCAACATGTCATTGGGGCGAAACTGTTTTGTAAACAATGACTTCAACCGCCAATTTCTCGCAAATAAAAGCTTACTCCTGCAAATTAACAATGCCAGCTGTAGAGGAAACATTCCTCTACCTGATGGTGTCGTTAATTTGCATGTGTGAATTTTTATTCGCCAGAAATCACCGGCTAAAGCCATTATTTACAAAAGCAGTTTCACCCTTGTCGCCGCCTTTAGCTACTTTCTTCTCCGGTTAGGGAGAGTCTTTCGCTTTCAGGTCAGACACTGTTTCTCGATTCTAGGAGCTACTTTTTTCCCCGGTTAAGGAGAGAAGTTTTCACTTCTAGGCCGAAAGTTCTTTCGGATTCAAAAAAGAGAAGAATCTGGAGTAACCTATGAAACTTAATTTTATTCAACAAAATTGTACAAAGTGATCTTACGGCTACGTGTTGCATTAGCAACTTATAATTATGTAAAACTTTTACATGATTTGTCCAGGGTTTTACATATCCCTTTCAATACCGGACTTTTGACCTAATTTTGCCTATTCTATTAGCTAGGATTTCGATCGCCCTTGAAAGGGTAAATTTGTGTTATTTGGATCTTATATACTATGCCCTCTCAGATCTGGGATTTCTCGGGTTATCTTGTAAGTTTATTTCTTTTTGTAACTCAGATCTGATATGGCTCTACAAATAAGAATGAGACATTTGTAACGTTTAAACATAATAATTATATCCTTCGTTAAGGATAAACAGAGAGGGAAAGCTAAACGTAACCTAGATGCGCAAGCATGCCATGCGTGGGCGTGTTTATCCTACTTGAACGCAGAAACGTTCCTAAGTAAATACTGCAGTTAGATTATGTAAAACGAGCTCTCGCTCCTTTTGCCCTACTTTTCATTTCATATTCTTGGCCTTGGTATCAACGTCAGCTAGGGCTATGCAAACGGGATGCAACTATGTGGTTATCTTATGGTTTTGGTTTTAAATTAATTGCCTCGCGGTAACATTCCGGAGCCCGTAAATCCTTCTAGGTTTACTTATATATGATCGTTATTCCGCGAGTGTAGGATTGTACTTTGTGTATCATTCCCACAAAGCAATCTTTTTTAATGGTAGTTTCAACATCTTGGTGTTTCAACACCCGTTTTGATGCTACTTGTTCTTTTTTATTGTCTTCATTTGAAGAAGCTTCGCCTGGCGGCTCAACATCCATAATAGCCAATTTGACTACTGGTCGAGTGTATTCTCCAGAGGCTGTTTTCACAACAGCCGATCTTACCTGACCATCCTTGCCTACATGTGTTTTCAAAACAACTCCCTTTTTCCACTTTGCCTTTTGATCATCTTCAGCAATCATAACGATGTCTCCTTCCTTTACATTTTTCACAGCTTCCGACCATTTTGATCTTTTGGCTAATGAAGGAAGGTATTCGTGTAACCACCTATCCCAGTAAGTTTTAGCCATAGACTGCACTTTCTTCCATTGTTGTCTAGTGGCCTCTGCCTTCGACACATCATTCAATGATGGTTCGGCACCGCCGGCACAACCAATTAGGAAGTGGTTTGGAGTGAGTGGTTCGTCATCCGTGGCATCTAAAGATATTTTCGTCAAAGGTCTACTATTTATTATATTTTCGATTTCTGTTAATAACGCACGGAATGTGTGTTCTGGCATAGTTTGATTTGGTAAAAGACTTTTAACTTCTTGAACCAACCTTTCCCATGCTCCACCAAAGTGTGGAGATGATGGAGGGTTGAAATGCCATTCAATTCCTCTTGACGCAAGTCTGTGCTGAATCTTTTTTAGTTCATTGTCAGGAATTTTATTCTGCCTCGTCTGTTCTGCACTGAGTTCAAGCATAATAAAAATGCATCTGCAGACAGATCATGGGCTATTTCAAGATATACTGCCCTTGTTGTCATACATGTAAACAATGCTCCCCATCGTTTTTCTGTTCTCCGTCCGATGGACACATTGTACGGCCCAAAGTAATCTACTCCGGTATGGGTGAATGGTTTCACGAACGGTTGCAATCGACACTCAGGTAGAGGTGCCATTTTAGGGGTATTTATCTTCGCATTTTCATTTTTACAATGTTGACATTTTTTTATTGTCCTCTTCATTCCAGCATCTATTTGGATAACATGATATTTTTGTTGCACTGCTGCTATCGTAGCCTTCATTTTTTTATGTTTAAACTGTTCATGTTGATTTTTCAATATTAAATCAACTACATGATGCTTTGCTGGAAGTATGTAAGGATATCGAGCCGCATAAGGAACGCACTCTGCATCCTTATATCGTGTTTCTGATTTTATTGTACCATTTTGATCTAGGAATGGTGTTAGCGTTCGTATTTTGCTAGATTTGTCAACCGTCTGTTTAACATTGAGTTCCGTTAACTCATCTGGAAATGCATCCCATTGAGTTTTCAGAATCAGCAAAATTTCTGCCCTTTCCATATCAACAGCACTGATGGTCTTATCGAATCTCAATTCTTTGTTTGTTTTAGACCTAAGCCACTCTATATATTTTATTGTAATGCATACAGACCTCTTTAAACGGTCCCAATCCGAACACCATTTAACGTTCAGCCAATCTAAATTTGGTTTGCTTATGCTCTTTATCGAATGTACGGGACGTAATTCTTCATGACTTAAGTCTGAACTATGATTGTCCCCATTCACGGATGGCCAATGTTTCTCGTCCAGCTTCAAAAACGCGGGTCCTTCAATCCAAGACGATTTCGATTGCCTTACTTTAGTTCCTTCATCAGCCGGGTTTGCTGCTGAACTAATATATTTCCATTGTGATTCAACGGTGCTTTCGAGGATTTCACTAACACGGTATTGAACGAATTGTTTGAACTTTCTTAATTCAGATTTGATCCAACTTATGACTGTTTTTGAATCGGACCAGTATATAACCTGGTCTATTTGTAGTCTTAATGCTCTCTGTACTGTATTAGATAATCTTGTCCCTAATACAGCAGCTTGTAGTTCTAAACGAGGTATTGACATTATTTTCGTGGGAGCAACCTTTGATTTGGCAGCAACAATCGTTACATCAATGCCGTCTTTGCTTACTGTTCTCATATATATAACAGTAGCGAAAGCGTTCAGTGAGGCGTCGCAAAAAACATGAAGTTCTCGACGTATCACGCCTTTAAAATAAGAGTAACATCTTGGGATTTTTATCTTAGATAGGGAAGACAATCTATTAATCCAGGTTTGCCAAGTCTTATTTATGTCATCGGGAATTTTATCATCCCAGTCTATACCACGTCGCCATAAATCTTGCATTATTATTTTAGATTCGATTGTTATATGTGCGATTAACCCAAGAGGATCATACACACTCATAATAAAAGACAACACTTGTCTTTTTGTCGTTTCCAACATTACTAAATTGGGAATGTTGATTTTAAATGTAAGTTTATCGTTTTGCATGTCCCAATACATACCCAGGACCTTTTCATATACATTTTCGTTATCATCCAGTTTCACTTCCTTTATTGGAGAGATTCTATCATTTGGTAATTGCTTCAAGCAGGACTTCGAATTTGATATAAAATTCCTCATTCGGAAGTTAGCTTTATCATGTATCTGAATGATGTCTGATACAGTTTTTACAGCTTCTTTTACTTCGTTGAAGCTGTCTAAATAATCATCTACATAGTGATTTTTAATTATAGCCTCAACTGCTTTAGGTCTTTCATTTATGAATTGTTTAGCATTTTCATTCTTGACAAATTGCATACAAGCTGGTGAGCAAGTAGCTCCAAAGGTCATTACTTGCATTTCATAGATGTCCAATCTTGTATTAGGTTGCTTTCGAGATACCATTCTTTGTGATTCTCGATCTTCTTTTCTGATTTTCACCTGATGGAAGGCCTCCTGAATATCCCCGGTTATTGCTATTGGACCTTCTCTAAATCTCATCTTTATATCAAGAGCTGACTCTGTCATGTCAGGTCCTGCTAATAATTGTGAATTTAAAGAAACTCCATCAATCTTAGTTGCCGCATCAAATACCATTCTTGGTTTAGGCGGTTGTTTACTTTGGTTGATAGTTATAAAATGAGGTATGTAAAAGGTTCTCGCAGTATCAATCATATACTCATCAGGACTTAACTTTTTAAGATATCCTTTCCTTACATACTCATCAATTTGTGTACTATACCATTCTTTTAAAGAAGAATCCTTCT